ATCCGTTTCCAATTTCTGTATAGCGGAATTTTTAATATTCAAATGATAGATGAAACTTAAAAAAAACAGTTGTATTAGGAAGCAAATATCATTCTGATATTTGCTTATTTCACCCGAACTCCTCTGATGGCAAATATCTAACTTCACTGTTTTTTTTCTTCCTAATACAAATACTACTCGCCATTTCCGAGATTTCCCGACCGCTCGAAAGTTTCAGCAAAATGCAGTCCTTATCAGCAGTTCATTTATGTCACATATTAAAATTAAATCTGAATTAATATGCACTCCACCATTATTTTCTATTTGCTTCAAGTTTTGCTTGAATTTCAGTCTTTTTGAAATATTGGAAATTGAAAAAGATTTTTTTTCGAGGCGAAATTCATTGTTTGAAGTATACAGTTCACATTCCTTTTCTCAAAAAAAAAAATGCAAAATATTTTTTCAAAGGTTACCAACGCGGAGTATTGCAAAGAAAGACATTTTATTGTCAAATTGAGCGAAAGTTCAAATCAAACTTGTGATTATGAATGCAAATTCAATTGAAACATAAATAGCATATAATCCGACCAGAAGGTATGATTATCTCTGTGATGCTTACATTTTCTGTATTCACATCATCACTCGAATCATCCCGTAAATTTGTTACGTGTAATTCTTTTGAAATTTGCTCGTATATGTATAATTTCTTTTGAAATTCAATAACTCATAAACATGAACATAACTTTGTTTTTATATATAAATCAATGATTTCATAATAAAAATCCCGTATTCTTATTGGTTTCCGGATTCCATTCCTCCATACAGTTGCGCACGGTTGCAATCGATGTCAGTCTAAACAACTAAAATCCGGTGCCATCCCCTGTAGCGACGAGAAAAACCCAATTTCTTCACTCTGTCAAAAGTTTATGCAAGATTTATTTTTGCAGCACCAGAAAACAGTACTTTGTTCCACATTTCTTCTAATTACAGTCTTAAAACAATGGTCAGATATTGTATTTTTATTCTATCTCTATACCATTGATAACAGCTAAACTGTTAGATAAAGATAGTCGAATTTTTGTGGCTTTGTTGGCGTGTGATTGCTTTTACTTTTGACATATCGTTTAAAAATTCATTTAGGATAAATCAAAACGATGAAGAAATGAGCTAAAGAAAAAAACATAGCTAACTTGATAAATACACCTTTTTAATTATATTTATTAGCATTTAACGTGTTCGCGTAAGTGAGACGTGCAGTATTCCTCAACCCATTTAGATCATCCTAACCCATATCCGCTCAATTATTCAGTATTTCATTTCAATCCATAATTCAAATAACGTAAGGCCGATGTCTGTAATTACCCATGGAATGGTTCGTCCAAACTCATGCCTGTTCAGTGTCATTGCTTCAGGCTAATGTAGATTATCTGCTAGTAATGGGTCATTTATACTTATGTCACATGAGGCGAAAGATACTGTAAACATAAAATTCGAAAAATACTATTCAGTTAGTGCTTAGAAAAAATCACTTGTAGCAATTAATTTCATTAGATGGTTTGATATATAATAAGATTATTGGATTGCTTTTCAATGATTAGCTAAGTGTTATTTGTAGCAATATCATTTGGCATTAATTTTTCTTGAGGTTTAGGCCGTGTTTTTATTACCGCAGTCATTGTCAAAGGAAATCTCGTCGCAGTACTATATTCACTATTTCGTGAAAGCATGATTGATCAGTGATGTGACCATTTAAGTTAAGTATATAAATTTGGATCATGTTGCCCTCTTTAGTAGGAAGAATGATATGCTATTCAGCACCGACTGGGAATCTTTTAAAAAAAGGTGGAGTTTTTGCAAAATTTTTGTTTAATTTTTGCTTTCTTGAACATGTTATTATATAAAGACTTTTCTATTAATTGTAATTACTAGAAATCAGTTCTTCCATTGCTACGCTTATTAGCTTTTGGAATTTGTTGAAAAATTTTGTTGAATAAATTTCAAAGTTCATAGGTAGAGCAAATTTTGGAATTACACCTAATAATATCTTGATTAATCATACTTTTGTAATTTCCTCATAATCCTTTAAAAAATTTTATTCCTTTCTTTCTTTTATGATATAGTCTTTTCAATTGATTTACAATATAGTCTTTTTGATTAGTTTATAATATATCCTTTTCAATCAGATTATAATATAGTTCTTTCAGGATGTTGTACACTCAACAGTTTAGATCGTCAACGACGTCTGGAATTGTTTTGTAATGAACAAAAGCGACAAGCAGTGGTTTATGAGAAAAAAGTCGAAAAAGTTGGTTTTCTCATAATTCTTTCAAAAATTTCATTTTTTTTCGTTTCTTCTATAATATAGACTTTTCAGTTGATTTACGATAGTCTTTTTAATTAATTTGTAATGTAGAGAAAATCATCATGAGCTTCATATCGAATCTTATGAGTCAAGCTCATTAAACCTTTTCGGTAGACCTGTTGAAATGAAAATTACTTATCTAATCCGATCATAATGTCTTGTGTGAACGTGTAACATTTAAAAATACTTGAATGTGCATCGAAATGTAGCTGGGCGTTTTTTGTAGAAGCATGTGTGGGCGTCTGATTTATTAGAATGGAATTGCTGTTTAGTTCTAAAGCAGTTTTCTTTTACTATGAAAATTATATGCATGATTTTTTTAGGTGTTTTGGGTAATTGAACATAAAGTTGGTAGTGATCCCGTGAAAGTTTTGATGAATCGAAATATTTCTACCTTTCGCGATTGTATGAAACGTAAGCTTAGTTAATGTTCGTGCAAATTTGTTTGAAAAGTTCAATTTGCGATTCATATTTTGTCCAGATTTTATTTCGCTTCTTTAGCCTGTTACTCGTCCATTATATCGCATTACATATATACATCAGTGGTTTCACTGATTAAAAAATGAAGGACTCTTCCCTGCTGATCTATAATTATTTTATTCTGTCACTTATTACTTCTTTGTAGAAAATTAGAAACTAAAAATGTTGAAATTCAGATATTTCACGATTAAAAACTAATCGTATGGCACTGGCATATGCTAATGGTTCTTACAAGTCTGTATTGGAGAAGCTCTCCAGTGATGGAAAAATGACACCATTAGATTATAATTGTCAGAATAAACATCACGCCAATGCCGTTAATATGGTAATAAATTGATTCCCATTCATTTATTCTCACATTCTTAATAACAACATATCAATCGTTTTTCTTTTTATCCACTGATAAGGAATAAAAGAACTGGGCGGAGTTAGCTTTTTTTTTCAAAGTTATTGTTTTTATTGATATATGAAAGAAATTTGCATATATTTATGCAGGCTTATTGGCGAACATGTGCATTCTTGTTAGGCGCTGTTATTGATCAAGCATTTGCTGTTGATGTACAGTTAGTTGGTCCTTCTAAAGTAGATTGTAAGTTTTCATTCCCTTCATATTTCTATGATTTTGACGTGGTTAATAACTTATTTTGATGTGAAAAAATATTAATTGGAACTTTGTATGTTTTTTGTTAATACTAATTATTTAGATCATTCGGGTAGGTTTGAATATATTGCGAGGATAAAAGACTTGCAGAACTGGACACCAAATTCAGTAAGTGTAAAATTTCTATTTTCTGCACCAGTGTTCTTTGTGTAAGTGTGAGGGATTGAATGAGCAATTTTTTAACAAGATCCTTTTTTTGATATAAGTCAAGTCTGCAATTAAAAATGTATTTGAATGTTATTTCCGTAGGATTGGGAATTATTCTGTGAATTGAATTTCTGTTATCTCATTCCTGGGTGCTTTTAACATTAATTCCAAGTTACGTATCTTTACCTCTCTTAATAAAGAGCACTTAGTTATTTTTATCTTTGTTACTCCACTTTATTTTTTAATCTTTAATTGTACGCAAATTTCTAGGAAAGTTTATTTGCACTGACAGAAAAAGCCATTGGAGAATACATCGCAAAACCTTTGGCCGTCGAACCGTTGCTTGTGTCATTAGAATTTGCAATGGATTTATTTGATTCAAATGTGTATGTATATTTTTCAGTTTTCAGTCGTCTTAGTTGTATGATTTTACGATTTGTTTACTAAGTAATTATTTAATCACTTTATAGTTGGAAACAAAAATTAGTCCATGAAATGAAGCATGAAACCGAAAATGGCGAACAAGGAGTAATCATTTATCGAATGGGTGATTTTGTGGATATAACTTATGGACCTTTGATTCCATACACCAGTCATATTGATAAATTTGCTCTGACTAAAGTGATTATATTTTCTTTCTTATTCCTGATGATTTTGGCTAAACAGGAACAAGAAGTTCATGATGACTTGAATTAAGCATACTTACCAAACTTTATGATCACCCTGCTAATTCAATTAAAACTGATGAAAGTATTTTAGCTTACCATGCATGGTAGAATGAGAATATGGAAATTTTTTTTTGTTTTGCTCTCTTGCTTTTGTAACTAATAGTTTTCAGGTGGAACACAAGGATTCCGAATATCGTTTCATAGGTGTATCTGTACCGAAAGAATTGAAATGCTCGTCTTACTCGTGGGATCTAATCTGTAACGCTTCAGTTATGCCTCCTGTTAAGCAATGAGTGTCGCGAACATCGCGAAATTTCGAGAATATTATAAATGGTCAAGTGTTTAGACATATTTATATATACACATATATTCATAGATGTAATATTACTGTCTTAATACATGTTCATAGCGTCAATTATAATGTGTCCGTTTAAACCAATGGCACAGTCAAATGATTCATTTTGTACTTGCATATTCGTTCCTATCCTTGCCTCCAATTATTGTACTACATGATCTCCCTTGCCCTTATATCCTCCAGTATCTCTCCTTATTTTCCCGCGTTGTAAAACACACATATACTTTGCCTATATAAGACATCAAATCATTCATTCATTCATTCGTTCTTCTTCTTCGTTTGGGGTTATGCGTTTGGTTTATTATTTCATGTATTAATATTGCGTTTTTATTATTGCTATGGTTTAATTATCCAAGGTTGAGTGGGTTTCATTCGCAATGAAGTACAATTCAACGCGTGTCTTCACATCGTTCTTCTGCTTCAACCAACCACATTGGAATAGGATTCTTATTTCATAATCAAAGGACCAACAAAGACAGAGTTGGAATCCCTCTACTGAATACCTCATAAGAATCTATTAAAATAAAGCTAACAAGAAACTTTCACGACAAATTTGATACCCCAGGTGAGGTATTCAACAATATTCTATTAGATTCACAGTGACTGACCCATTACGACTAAATCTTGAATCCCCAAAACGGTGGCTTCAAGAATTGTTATAAGAAGCACAACAGTTGGATCTAGCACCAATCAATCACAATCTTCTATAAATTTTAAAATAAGAGTATAAAGATAAAACATATGGTCTTCAAATTTTCAATCGACAATACTGTCGGGACATCTTTTTTTCTATAGTCAAAGTAGCACAGCTGCCACTTTATCACTTCAATTAATCTGTCCTTATTTTATTATCATTTCAACTTTATTTTTGTTCACTTTGTAAACAAAATAAGGAAACAATAGAGAAATGAGGTGTTGATTGGGACAGTTCCTTCCCGAAATATCCCAGTTTTTTATTTCAATTCCACATTACGATCAAGAATGGGAAAATGATGACCTGCGGACTGTATAGGGGAGCAATGTGAATCGAGGAAAAGAGCAGTGAGGGAAAAAATCGAATATTTCGAATTCTATATTGGAATGTTGGAATCCGTCAATCAATAATGGTTGGATCGCATGAAGAATTTATCAGTTGCAAACAAAAAAGGGGAGAAAGAAAGATGCTCCGCAATCATCATTCAAGAAGGTATTTTTGATCTTATAACTACTTCAAAGAGAAACGTCTCAACTTTGAAATTACATATTAAGGATGTCGAGACCATACTTAATGAAATGGTTAAAGAAGAAAGAAGAGATGAAGTAACACCGCGCACATCATTCACGGTAGCGCCTTTGATAACCTTCCACAACTACCATTAGCAACTTTCGATGGTGATCTTAAAAGCTGCAGATAATTCTGGAGTAGTTTCGAAGCTGCAGTGCACAATCAAACATCCCAGACATTCAGAAATTGAATTATCTGATATCAA